CAGCACTGTAGCTGACAGCCATTTGGACTTCAGGGGAACTGCCCACCTCTCCTGGCTTTCCTGGGCACCAAGAGTATACATAGGACATAGACATAAAAGCAGGCAAAACGCCCATACACATAATTTTTTTAAAGAGCATGGTAAAGCGGAGTCTTTCATTTCTTATGAAACTGGACCAAGATGGAAATACTGCTGTGATGACCCAAAGCTAAACCTATGAGTCAATCTGTCTAGGTTCTGTAGATTAAGAACTATGTTTAACTCCATGTCTTATGTGGCATTAAATGTCAATGCACTCTTCACAATGGACCCGAACACCACCAAAAAGTCTTTTTGCCCTTCCTAGAGATGTGATGGTTTGATTGCTGTTAAAGCAAAGCAGTGCCCATGACAAAACTTTTATATCTCAGAATTAAAGTTGACCCTGATCAACACTGTCTATAAAAACCGAACTTGTGAGGGAAACTGTGTTACAATCCAGAATCTAACAGTGGAAGTGAATTTGAGAGTTCCTAAGGGTCTGCTTGACTTCAGCATAAAGACAAGTACATTCTGAGGAATAAGAGATTCCAGCGTTGCCTGCTTCATGCTTCCTCATTAACCCAATTCCCCCTGCCTACTCTATCGCCAGTCATCCCTGGGATGTGCTAATTGTAATGTCTCTGGGATCAATGAGAGGTAAACCACACAGGTACAAAAAACAAATTATCTGTAAAATCACCATTTATATTTCATAACATCCCCAGACTTTGTCATCCTGTCTTTTTTTTTTTTTAAGAAAATAAGTGAAGCTAAAGAACTTCTAATTCCATAATTATGAAGCTGATGTTCACTACCGTTTAGATGAAGTGTGGCCACTCCTTCTTTCTGTCTCCCCAGTTAACAGGTATGTTCGAGATATATGTTTTAGATCTTCCAAACCTGTCTCCTTTGGTGCCAATACTCAGTCTGTAAGATTGTCTGCTCACTCAGTTCTTTTTGTGGCATCTCAAAGTAGTAATAGTGAATGAATGGGAATTGCTCATGGTTTTGTAGTGATTCATATTTTCAAATTTATTACGATTTTAGTCTAAATTAATGACTTGTGGAAAGTAGACTGATGATATTTTCATTTCTGTTTTTCAGATGAAGAGTTAGTTCTTCTTTTTAATTATAAGAAAAATAGTATTTCACAGTTCTGCAATCACAGCTATGAAAGTACAGCATTAAGTTGGGAACCCACCTACAGGTAGGACGTCAGGTACACAAGTCCTGGCTATGACACTCAGTGGCTGCATGTTATTGAGCAAGTGACTTCAATTTCTTATTCTGAAGAGATAAGAGTGGTGATAGTTACACCACTTTTGATAGGATGTTAGAAACTGCTTAATCTCCAGGCAGTCATTATTGCAATTATTTGTTATTATTCTCATATTTATTCATTCATTAAATAAATTTCAGAACACACCTGATCTGAAAAACAAATAACCATCTCTTGGTAATGGGGCTGACTGGCACCCACACTGCTGCAATATACCTTTTTACCTTCAAATCTCCACATTAGAACACAGGGAAACATGCTTTAATTTAGTCTGTTCATTGCTGGTTGTCATGAGTACTTACAGGTCAACACTCATCATTGTAGCCTACTGATGTAATACCTAGCATTTTGCAACAATTGAAAAGCAGCTATTTACGTTATGGTAGGTTGTTCAGTGTTTTAAGAGATTCCCTCCATTTTAAGGGAGTAGGATGTCACCATTTCAGACTCGCTTTAATACAATACACTTATTTTCTCATGCAGAGCAAGACATGGGCATCTTACCTTTGACATTGGCTTAATTTATTTCTTTGAAACTAACCAGGACTTGAGGAAAGTACAGATCGCTCACTGACCTGAGATTCTTGTTTTCAGGTATTAAAACATGTGATCAGTTTTGGAATTTAATTCCTTGTTTCGGGGGAAGGGTGAGGGATCAGAAGTGATGGCTGTGTGAGTTTATCTTTGAAGGTTATTGTGGGGGAAGTCTTTGAAAGAGAATCATCGTCATGTTTTGCACAAAGACCTGAAGAGCACACGCTGTAGAACTGTAAATGATACCTCAGCCTGGACAAGTTTGTCAGACTGATAAGGGATTTTTAACACTCAAGAGTCTGAAAATTACTTATTTTTATTTTGTGTGAGGGCGTAGAAGCCACAGTGCACATGCAGATGCCAGACGACAGCTTGAGGGGGTTGGTTCTCTCCTCCTATGACTTGAACTCAGGTTACCAGTTTTGACAACAGGTCCTCTGATACATCCTTTAGCCCTTTAATACTTTTAAAGATTTTAAAAAATTACTTTGAATAAAAATGCCCTATAAAGACATAGTAAAATCCATGATGAAAACACATAGAACATCTGATATTTGTCTGTGGTGTTTCCTTTCCTCAACTTCTTTCTTCTTTATAAGCATGATAAAACCTGTTATCTTAATTTTAGGAAAATAATTCAATGAAGATTTATAAAACAGCTAGGAGTTTTGAATACTTAAGTGGATGTGTTTTATAAGTAAATGAAACAGGACTTTGTTTTTCAATAAAAGCTTTACATACAAATACACAAATTGACTTTAATGGTTACAAACACAGATCCATTTATTTGAAAAGAAGCAAGTTACCTGCTCATTATTTTGATTTGTAAAGATGTAGCCTTCAAAATGAGCACTACCAAGATTTTCTTGTGGAAAGACCCGTATATGAGGACAGTTTTGTAATGTCCTTAGTTGTATTAGTCTGCTTTTCATTCAGGGTGAGTTACCTGTCTGAGGTGAATGGACTATGAGTTCCTTGGGCCATCACTTCATAATCTGAGACAGGTAATGTTCAGTATTCAATTTGTACAACATTTACACAGAGCCTTTGTTTGGAGAGCCTACAAGCACTTGCCTGTCGCCAAATATATTTGCCATGTGTCCACAGGGTGAGAGCTATGAAGCTATTTCCTTCAAGTCAGAGCTATTCACCAAACAGAAATTACAGCCATCACATTTAAAGGCATGTGAGTATACAGCAAAGGAACAGGGCCTCCGGTTCACATATCCTGCCATTCTTCACGTAGACAGCCCTGGAGGATAGTCATTTTAAAAATATAGGTAGCTCTATAGAGGATGTGAGGAACAGATCATTTGCCTCTTGCTGCTCCCATTTGCTAAGGCTCTTATGAAGATTTTCCCTGGGCACATGAATCAGTTTAATAATGATTGCTGCCAGTTGGTGGCTAGACATCAGCATGCCAGCCTACTCAACAGCGTTGCCATCTGCTATTTGGACTCACAGTGTGTTGCTGCCATGCACCACCTCATTAAGAACGGGACCCTTGTGAGCCATAGACAGTAGCTTATTCAAGTGAGCTGAAGCAAACGCTTCCCCAAGCCAAATTTGTAGAGGCTGCATGCATCCCTTCTTCCTTGGAAATTGCTCTGTGCTGATCGTGCGGTCTAGGCTGATCATGTAGTCTGATGGCTCATTGTCACTGATTAGCTAGGTGTTGGTTTTTCAAGCTATCCTCTCAAGGTAGCATTGAAATGCAAATATGGTTATGCAAAATATTTAGTCCAGGCTCTTTTTTTTTTGTAATAGAGTCACATCTTGAAATGATTCCAGCCACCATATTACTGAACACAAACATTTCAACAAGTCTATTGTGATCTACTCTCCTTTTTTAGCTAGTTCAAACATGCTGTTCTCTTTTAGTTATAGGGGATTTCTGTTATGTGGCTTTTATTTCTTGGAAGCAGATTTTCAAAGGCTTTCAAAGGACTTTCCCCATTTCCCTACTAAGTTTGTCCAAAGGCAGCTATAAATACAAAATATTTGTGTTTGTTTGACAAAAATGGGTGTACTTTCTCAGTTCTCACATCTGTACTTAGCAGCAGCCAGATGTGTTTCTTAAACTTGGTGCCTGTTAGATCTTCTATGTTTTCTTTTCTGGGCAAATCAAATCCGAACGTGTGTTTATGCGGGGCAGGTCCGAGCCTCTGTGTTCTGCAGGAGGCAGCTCTTGAGTCTTTCAAATACTGCTGACATCATGACTATTTATTAAGAAGTGTTCTTTGGACAAGCATTTAAAGAGAAAAGACAGAGCAAGCTGGGTTGCTACACGGGCTCAGCAACAACTTCCGCCAGCACCACAGAAAACTCTGGAGATGAGCCATGGAAGAACTTTGCATCCCAGCAATGATCAGTCACTGATGTGTGTCATCCTGAGATGGAGTGTGGCATTAGAGAGGGTGCTTCCGTGCTGCTGAGGCAAGGCCGGAAGAAACCTGATGGCAGGGGAGCCCTGACAGCTGCAGGCTGCTTGTTAACAGAGCGCAGCAAATGGGGGTGAATCCTTCCCTAGTGGGAGACCTGCACCATGCATGGCTATCCTTCTGCACACCCCACAACATCTCCGTTGGAAAGGTGCTCCAACAACCACACAAGAATGACTCTGAGAGTCAGGCATTAAAGAAACATTTGGACTTTGTTTCTTTCCCAGAATCAGTTAATTTGCTATGAACTAGTAATTTATAAATACCATAATTTCATAATTTCATAAATACCACCCTAACTGTACAGGGACTTGTAGGATATGTAAAACAAACAAAATAAGACTGCATGTGGATGGTTCGTTTGCTCTAGGTTCACTTGTCCTTCAACAGCAGACTATTAGTCCTTCCCGAAACTCTTGCTTCCTTAATTATCATACTCAGGTGTATGGAAACGTATTTTTATTTTTTTTCCAACCTGTCTCCCACCCCATCTCCCATCTCCCTCACAACCCCACCCCCATCCACTCCTCCAAAAGGGTAAAGCCTCCCATGAGGTGTATACAAAGCCTGGTGCATTCAGTTGAGGCAGGACCAAGAGCCTCTCCCTGCATCAAGGCTGAGCAAAGCATCCCACCGTAGGAAACAAGGAAACGTACTCCAAAAAGTCAGTTGAACACAATTCTTACATTCTGTCTATGGTATGCATATGAAAACACACACACACACCTACCTCAAACCCTTTATTTTCCAGATGAATATAGGCAATGCATTTTAAAATAAGTTAATGCAACATTTTCTCTCAGCTTGTTGGCGTTAGTGTAACAGAACACCCACTATATACTGGGTAGATTATAAATAACAGAAACGTCTCAGACTTCTGGAGGCTAGAAAATTCAAAATCAAGGTGCTGGCAGAGTTTGTGGTGAGAACACACTTAATTGCTCCTGGCAGCTGTCTGTTGTCACTTGGCAGAAGGGTGAATGAGCTCCCTTGAGCTTCTTTCATAATGGAAGGCATTCTCTTCACTTCCTGAAGTCCCAGTCTCCTCCTGATACCACCACCTTTGGAAGCAGGGTTTCAACATAGGAATTGTGTGTGGGCATACTAAGTCCCCAGCACTCACTTTCCATTCAGGGTTGTATCCAAGCTCTAGAAGGTTAGGAGGTATCATAGCATTTGATTCTTGATTGATGGCAATCTATGTCTGGCTTCAAGCAAGGTGAGTACTGTATTTTCTGGTAATCATTGCCATGCATTTCCATGCTGATGACTGACGAAAGCTAAAGGATTCTCAGAGTTCACACTGTACTTCTGCAGAGAGTCCTTCAGGCCTGTGAGCTGTTAGACTTATTGATATAATGCTCCTTGTTGTACACAAAAAGAGATTTTCTTGGTTGCCTGACATGGTAGTGACTGTATGGCAATCTGGAATCCCTATATCTAGGCACATGCAAATTCACCAATACTGTACAGCCTAGCTTGATGCACCATCATGTCTCAGGGTAACAAGACAGGGGCATTGATTGCTAGTGTTTCCACTTTTAGCTCACGTACATTCTTTCTGGGTTTTTCAGACTGTGATTTGGAATGTGGACTTCGTTAGAAACTTTATTCAGCAATAAACTCTACTGCATTCTCTTAGAGATTACTCACTGATGAGATTGTTTTTTTCCAAGCCCCTTGAGTGAGTTTCGAGCATGTAGGCTGTGACATGGAGGGCCAGGTATTCCTCCGGTCTTAAATTTGAAGCCATGACTTTGGTCTTTGGAAAAGCAAAAGCCACTAAGTTTTCATGTGCATATTCCTTGAGGGGGGCGGTCTATGGTTTCATTCCTCCTAAACACTCAACTTACATTCTGGTTTAAGGGTAGAAATATGTCTGGTGTGGGGTGTGTACGGAGGTGAGAAAGAAAGCATTTGCCTTCAGAGGAAAATTTACCCGGTATTTCTGCATTTCTTCCATTCATCTAGTAGCCATCACTGTACAAACAGTGAAGTACCCCGATGTTTGCAGCTTGCTTGGGTTTGATGGCCCTGAAGATATTCTTCATAACGACTTTGGCTGTCATGAATCCACTCAATTTCTAAATACGCTTCAGGCAGTTTATCAATTTCGTCAAAATAAACAGATCTCCTGGGAGCATCTTAGGGATTACAGACAATAAATATTGAGTACATTCAAAATATTGACCTTTAAAACATCTAGTCTTCCATGCCTCAACCGTTTATACCCCCACTCAATTAAGTATTTAATGTCTTAGTAATGCTTTTCCGTTTTTAGTGTAGAAAATTGTAGATCTCATGAGTTTGTTCTTAGATACTTGAAACTTGTTATTCTTAATACATTTTAAATATGTTAACTTTTTCAGTTGATCCAAAGTAAGGATATACAATTTCTGATATTTTGACATTAAGTTCAGTTATTCTCATGGCCTGCAGAACAGTTCAGTTTTTCTACATGCACAATCATACATGGCACGCCTGATCTGCATGACAAGGACAATACACAATTGTGGGAAAAATTCGTGATCCATTACTAAGTAGTTTGCTAACTGTAGGTTTTCTTAATAGATCGCTATCAACTTCCCTTCTGTTCTTAGTTTTCAGTTTGTATTGTGTATACACGATGGTTTGTTTGGTTTGTAGCTACTGACATATGGTTTGTCTTATTCTGTTATATGATGAATTGCATTAATTAATTTTCAAATGTTAAACCATTTCATGATGTACTTGTCTCTTTATATATTGCAACTTTCATTTCATAATATTTTGTTTAGTATCCGAGCATTGATGTTTGTGAGATTTACTGACTCCCAAACAGAAAATTAGATAACTAACTTCTATTACTTTCTCTGTGGAGGAATCTTGGGGGTCATTTCTAGAAAAAGAAGAACTATGAATCTCCTTGTTTGCATAGTGACAGCAGACTTCATGTAACAATGGGAATTCCCAGGAGGTTACCCATTTTGGGATATTGATAGTCTGCAACTATAAAATTATGAAGGAGAGTGCCTATACAAATGTTCTATGAAAGTTACAACTATCCAAGTATTTGGAGATGTAACAGGCTCCATGTCATGAGAGGTGATGAGATTCATCTTTACAGTAGTGAAATGGCTTATCCACAGCCAGAGAGAAGCCCAAAATCCTGAAACTGCCCAAGATTTCTGTCTGCTTTGCTTGTGCGCAATTCATTATAAATTTAAAATGAATAGATTAACAAATTTATAATGAATAACATCTTATTTCTATGAGTTTTCCAGGTTGATTCAGGAATCTTACCTTTGAGGTTGGGTCTATAATTTCCCTTCTTCTAATAATGTTCTGTCAGGTTTGGGTTCCAAAGTTCTGTTTAATCATCTACAAGTGGGAAGTATTTGTTTCCTGAATCAAGCTGAAAGCATCGATCTTTTTCTATTCAGTTGACGAATCCTGCAAGCATAGTAGCATTTTCCCATTCAATAGTTAGACAAGTTTAACAATGAAATTGCATTGGCCCAAACAGTGCCTTGTGGAAAGCTCCTCGATCTGTATATCAAGAACCAAAGGCCAGATCTCGAAAGGTAAATATTAGAGTGTACACCTACACCCATGGAATGGCTGTCTTCTTTCCTGACTGCTAGGAAGATGTCTGGTTAAATTCTTCACATAGTCAGTGGAGTGATGCTAGGTCCAACAAGGCAGGAAAAATACTATATACTGAAGAAGCTCTATGACACACATGCAAGAGCCAGCAAATATTCCTGGGTGGAAATTTTATCAGTGCTTTTCTGAGATGCTAAAATATAAAGGCAGACATGTAAGAATACATTTGTTTAGGCCTATTTCAGGTGCAAAGTGCTTATCTTCTGGTGTGGTCTGTTTACCCAAACTCAAGTGTGAAAAGACGTAATTGCCAATGTGAATATATTAACAGTTGGTATCTTTTAGAGATTAAGTGATGAAGGCAAATTAAGGCAGGCTACAGGGGAGCTACCTAGATCTGTCTTAGACTTCATCTCCACCATGTGGAAATAGTGTACAAAACCTCTGAAGGATGGAAGTCTAGAAAGAAGCACACACTGGGCCCTCACTAGATACCAAACTCACTGACATTTTAATTTAGTATTCCCATCCTCAAGACCACTGAGAAATAAATTCATGTTCTTTGTAAATTAGTCAGCCTCAGATACTTTGTTACAGATGCAGAAATGGACTAAGACATTACCCCAGGAGGAACACCAGGGAAAGAAACAAATTTCCTGACGGAGTGGCTCTTAAAAGCCCGTAAAGGTAAAAGTCATGAGCACAAGCATGATATCCACATTGCTCTGGTAAATATGGAAGATATAAACAGACTGAGGGACCTGGTCAGGCTAGAATGGATACATGGTGAGTGTAGAAAACTCATGTGGCTTGCTCCAAGGTTAGGACTAGAGAACACACAATCCACCAAGGCCACCAAAAACACTCCTAAGAGAGGGTACCAGGATCACTGAGACAAGTGGTAGTGTCTGTATTTAGCTAGGGCTGAAGATGAGGCGGTCATGGAACTGGGCTTGTTAATATCTCTCAGGGTAATGGACCCTGTAATAAAGGGCCCTGCAGGACTGGTGCTTAGCTACCAAAAGCCAAGAGGCCATAATTACTGTAACAACTGGTAAAATTGGAAGGGTAGTTAAGTGGGCTTGACTCACAGGGTGTTTGGGAGATGATTAATTGAAGGTAACACCCCTACAGGCAAAACAGATGAGCAAGTAAGTAGCAAGGATGTCCCTTAACTTCTGTAACTAATTAAGGCAAGAATGGAAAAGCGAGATGTTAATGGTACTGTCCCCGATGAATCTTTACAAACTCTTGCTCCAGTTTTGAGACATTACAAGAAAATCTTAAGGGCTCTGGAGATGGGGAAAGTGGTTCAGCCTTAGTAAATAAAGATTCTGTTATACAATGACCAGTGCATGCTGTGATGACACTCAAGTTCTTCCCCAAATGGACTCTGGCCATTTGTTAGGGTGACCCTTCACCGGGAAAGGAGAACACTCACCTACTTCTGGAATGGTTAGCAGAGGCTCCACATTGATCTTGGCACCTCACCATCTTTCTGGCAGTCACGTCAAGCCATCCCCAAGGAGTGGACGTGCAGAACAAGGAGGAGACGGAACCGGGGCTGAGCTCCACCACTTGGACCTGCTGCTTGAGGAAAGTTTAGTGGTCCTTGCTGCTATTCTGAAGCCACTGCTATTTTCCTGCCAAGGCTACATTTCCCACAGGCTCATTCCGTGAGAATGGTGACTGAGGAATGCAGGTATACTACCATCGACTTCTTGTGAAGCACGGGGTGTCTCCACTGGGAAATTGGCTTATTGGCCAACCTTTCAACTTGATTAGAATCGTGCTGTAGCACAATCATCCTGATATTCTCTGTCTTTCTCTAATAGGGTTTCCCATAGAAACAGAACCAACTGAAGTGAGGCATCCATCTTCAGGCCTTGGACCTGGTCTGACACACTCAGTGCTCTTGGGTCTCAAGTCTTCAGGTAGCAGATCATGGGACTTTGCCCCTAGCCTAATACATTCCTTATAATATCTGGGCGTAAATCAGTTCTTGAAAATGTTTGGGTGGATAGATGGGTGGGTCCTATTTCAGCGTTATGGAAGTCTTTTATAAATTAGATGCCCAACCATGCTGGGGACCACAATCTGTTTTACTCAGTCTGTCTGCTCAATATTACTCTCTTCCATAAACACCCTATGGACACACCCAGAAATTATGCTTCACCAGACCTAGTTCAGGTGGTAGGTATACCCGGTCACACATGCATAGGGTGAAGTAGGTTATTTGGTCTAAACAGGCCACCTTCCCGGTGGCCTTCCTTTTCAACGCTCACAGCCATTTCTCCAAATGAGACTCTTGTAAATATAATCAAGTCTTTGTAAGTGCTTGTTGGGAGGACCGGACTAACACTTGTACTTTGTTCTGGGAGGAATTTATATTGGATCATTAGGGTACTATTCAAGCTTGTACTAAAGTTCTTTATTGGGTGGAGTAGTTTTTATCCGGACAATTGAGCCCCACTGGTGTCATGAATAACCTTTCAGGGCTCCTGTTCTCCCCGAGGACGGTTAACTGTGGCTGCATGGAAATGAAATGGTCCTCATCTCACGCCAGCCTCGAGAAGTGGGAAGCCGAGTGCCAAACAAGAAACACACAGTGACCTCTTTGTAGATTTCTGGAAGTTCCTGCCTGCATATCTTCCCACCTCATTGGTACTTTGTCATGAACATTCGTGCCACCCATTCCGACTTCAGTCTTTCTCTCAGCTCAGCAGATCTGTCGGCTCACCCACCGGAAAGCTCGCCTGCAGAAAAGTCACAAGCTGAAGAGAAGGCCGAGAGGTACGGGTTCTTTGTCCTCTTGCAGAGGATGGGGGTTTGAGTCCCAGCACCTACACGGGGTAGTTCATAGCCACCGGTTAACTCCAGTTCCAGGGAATCTAATACCCCCTTTTGGCCTCTCTGAGCACTGCAATCCCAAGCTCACCTTCTGATTTTAAAAACATCGATTAACAATCTTTTCACAATATTGCTGCATAAATATGTAGATGTATTAAGAGCTATATATTTCCATTAAGCTTTTTTTTAAAAAAAAAAAAATCTGGGTCTCATGTAGCCAAGCCCAGCTTCTCTTGAATTCTCTACGTACCCAAAGATACCTTGAACTCCTGTCTCCACTTCCCAGGCATCACTACATCCACAAACTTATCACAAACTCACAGTATTTTAAAATCATATTGATTTCAAAATATATTCTCATTTCTAATGTAATTTATTGACTCATTAGTCACTGGGTTTTTGTTTCTTAAATTGCAAGCATTTAGAATCCTCTGGCATCTTTACAAACTTGACTTTCAGTTTTACTCATATTATATATGGCTTCAGTCTACTGAAACTTGGTTTGTGATCCAGTGTTTGGGAATATTATTTTACATTATGACTTTCTTGCAGGCATATGACAACATCGTATACTCAGCAGAACTCAATGCATACTGAGTTGAATGACTCACAAGCTTTCTTATTAACATCAGTTAACATTAGTTAGTAAGAAAGTTGAAGATCAGTAAGATGCTGATGACATCACTATTTCTTAGGGAGGAATCGACAAATCATGCAAACCCCCCCCCATATTCTGACAAATGTTAACGCCAACCCTTCATATGATGGGGATTATCCCAATGCTGTTCTGCGTGTGTTTTCTGTCACTAGTGAGAATGAAGTATCTTAAGAAAAGTCTATGACAATAATTTATAAAGTTCTCAGACACTTAAGAAATAGTTTTAATTCGGTTTTCCCACCCTCATGGTTGTTCCTGAAATGGCACAAGAGAAGACCATAACTGACAACGCTCACTACTGCTCAAACACTTCAAGGAGAATAATTTATTTTCTTTCTTTTTTTTTTTTTAAAAAAAACTTGTTTTTCAGTACAGGGTTTCTCTGTGTGACCCTGGCTATCCTGGGACTCCCTATGTAGACCAGACTGGCCTCAAACTCAGAGATCTGCCTGCCCCTGCTTCCTACGCGTTGGGGTTAAAAGCATTTGCCACCACCACCCGGCAAGAATAGTTTCTTAATTTTCCAAATTTATTCCTGTTTTTTCATATAAAGGAACATGACTCGAGGCTAAAACTGTTATAAACAAACAACATCTAATACATTTCATCTTCCTTCTGTCTCCACAAGCATGATTATAGAAAGAAGTGGGAATAGATTTATCCAGGTCTAAAAACGTATTTTGTAGGCTATGACAGGCCTCTATACACTGCTTGGGTCTTTTCAACTTTGGATTCAGGTCACAGTTCTGGAAATTCGGACCTGCTCTTAGTTAACAGTGCTTCAAGCACTATCCCAGGCAGCCCGCCTCCTAACCGCTTCTCTGATGTGGTACCAGAGGGAAGGCAGAGTTGGCATCTCAAGGGAGCAATCCTCAACACAGTGATGGTTACTGACAGAGAAATGCATCTCTCTCTCTCTCTCATCTATCAGAAAGACATCTGTGAGACAAAACATGAGATGCTTTTCTGCCTTACACAGCATTAACACGGATCTCTTGGCAAGACTGCCTGGATTTTCTTGGATTTTCTTTGCCATGTGCCCAGATTCAATCCCCCATCTTTCTTTCCTGCTCCCGGCGATTACATTCCCAAGTAGAATGCATCTACTTTTGTTTCAGGCACTATGCTCATGAATAGCCTAGACTAAAGCAGTAGGTAAGCAGGCCGTTGATATTACATCACAGGGGAATATTACTTGCTTGACTGCGCAAGCTATAAATCGACACTCATCCAGTTGGCAGCATTGTTGGTGGTTTCCATCTTTTTCCCTTTTGAAAGCTCACAGTCCGTTCTGAGCCTGACCGCCTAAAGAGAAACAAAAAGGCAATACAGGTTAGCTTGTGATTGAATAGGCAATTTTCTCTAGGATGATGGCTCTGAGCACGTTCCCTGAGAAAGGGGGTCCTTGGCAATTTGGATGGCTTCTCGGGTGTAACGTGGATAAGTCCTCATCCTAATTAATCAAGCAAAGCTCTTGGTTGTCTGGAATCAAGCACACCATGTTCTTAAGAATATCTAAAAAGAGACATATTGTACTGCTATAATACTTTTCTATTAAAAAACTGAATGTAACTTTAAAAATGTCTGCTTTACTGGAATACTTAGAGGGTTTTCTTTCTTTTTTTTTTTAAAAGATTTATTTATTTTGTATACAGTGTTCTGTCTGCATGTATACCTGCAGGCCAGAAGAGGGCACCAGATTTCATTACAGATGGTTGTGAGCCACCATGTGGTTGCTGGGAATTGAACTCAGGACCTCTGGAAGAACAATCAGTGCTCTTAACCTCTGAGCCATCTCTCCAGCCCGAGGGTTTTCTTTGTTCATAAAAGTATTACAGAAGGCCCAGAGAGTTAGCAGTGAACTACTAGGAATACATGAAGACTGCCCATATGCTAGTCCGGGGTTAAGGCGTTAGCAATTCTTTTTATTTTAGTTGTTGCTTAAACTCATATGAGGTTCTAAAGACATTACAGAGAACAACACTGGTTGCAACCACTCCTGTATAGAAATTCTAGTAGCAGAAGATGAGAAAACAAATAAATTAGTAACTAAAACATACTATATTTGAAATAAGAACTATAGACAAAATAATCTATGGATGGCAGTAAGGACAAAATTATGTTCCTTCTACAAAAGTCTTCTATTTCAGTTCTTACCATCAGAGCCCCAGATTTTGTTTTTAATTATTTTCGTTTGTCTGTGGGTGGGTATATGGAGGTGCCCACAGAGGCCAGGAGAGTGTTAGACGACCCCACTTCCCAAGCTGTAGTTACAGAAAGCTGTGAGTTACCTGATATGGGCGTTGAGAACAGAACGTTGGTCCTGTGTAAGGGCTGCTAGTGCTCTTAACTCCTGACCCATCTCTTCAGACCCCGGAAGCAGGACTTACAGAAATGATTAAAATAAGGACCTCAGGGTGGAGCCCACTCTAATTCACATCCTTGCCAAGAGGAAATCTGGACTTCCATCCCGGGGTTGCTCAAGCACAGGATCAAAGCCTTAGAAGGCAGACTTACCAATACCTTGGCCTTGAACATTTAGCCTCCACAACCAAGAAGTCACTTAAGCAGGCCATGCACTCTGTGTATTAGCTGCGGCGGGCCAGCAAACTAAGGCACACAGAGAGGAAATACGCAAGATTTGTTTTGTTGTGTCCCCCCCCCCCCCCCCGGCCAGGTCTCACAGAGAAAATAAGATTTCGACAAAAACCTGAAGAAGAAAAAAGTCAGCCAGAGGATATTTGGGAGAGGAGCCTTCAAGAGAGGAAGGGAGACTTAACTCTGGAAGCCCTGAGATGGACGGATGCCAGTGTGGTTTGAGCGAAGGAAGGGCATGAGCAGGAGGCAACGGCAGACTGTTGAGCGAGGGTTTCCACCTATGCTGTGCACTAAGGAACTGTTCTGAAGACCTGGAAAGACACTGTCCAGACTGGTGTGGTGATGTGGGCCTGGTGGGTCTGGTGGGTAGGCAGAACCAACATTAAAGTACAGCCACACACGGCACAGTTCTACTTCTTCAAGGTAACTTTCCACTTGACGATGTTACTTTAAAATAACTCCTGAAATAGCTAGAGCTATTGAAAACATATAGCTCTTTAAAGAGATATAAAACTGCTAAGTTATTTATGAGAGCAGTTAATCCCATTGATGACAAACTTGGTCTCTGGATCAATTCTCTGTTGTAAACAGATAAACATTCTGGATTAAAACGTATTTAGTAAAATTTAGAAATGGGCAATTACCTTTTCAAATAGCTTTCAGTTCCTTACTCTTTCTCCTTCCCGTCTGGGGATTCCATGTGTATTAGTTGACTAATACTAGAAGCCACTGAAACTCCAGTTATTATATCAGGCAACAGCGATGATGATGATGACGATGACATTTCCCCCTATATATAGACTTCACATTCAGACAAATCCTACTGACTGCTCATTTACTCAGGTCTGTCTCGTGTGTCACCTCTACTGACAGTCTCTGATGATCTCAGTTATGTGTCCAGTTAGGCTTTCCACTCATTCTCTTTATATTGTTTGTGTTTCTCTTGAAATTCCCTATGCCTTAACCCTGAAATCAACCCGTAGTAGAACCCGTTATATACTTGCCATGTTAATCCACATGCCTTTTCTACTAACCCCAGCCTCTATAAACCTGTTTCTTTGGTTTGTGATCAAGGTGATAGTGTAGAACTATGTGAGAAGAAGCTTAATGTGTTTTTTTTTCCCCAAGAAGGATTTAGGTCAATTGGATAATTAAATTTTAAAAAATCTTACACAAAATCCGAAATTAATTTTAGGTGATCAGCCAAACACGCACACATAAGATGGTCATCTAGACAAATGTCCTTGTGACCTTGTGGGCAAGAAATAATTATTTATAGGTTACTCATGGTACTGATCCTGGAAAAAAATACTACACACATTAATAACAATCTAACAGTGAGATAGGTAAAATACAAACTGTAGAAAAGAAAAGCACATTTGGGGATTTCTAAGTGTGAAGTCAAGTGTAAATGACAACCAGTAGAAATAATTAAAGAGTCCTTTACTAGAGAGGATATTTAAGTGGCTACTGATTGTATGATAGACACTTTCTGTCATTGGTCAGTAAAGATTTGTAAAATAACACTGTACCACCACCAAATGCTGGCGAAAGTGTGGAGTGCAGAGTGCTCATTACAGGCTACTGGGGCTGTAAACTAGAGAAGCGTGTCCTCTAAATACAAGTGAGCCACAGCACTGGCCATGCTTGAGCTGTTCAACATGCAGGCGCATTTATCAAGAGGGCTGTGTCTATGTAAAGACACACGAGACTGATATGTATTCATCTGAGTATTATTTGTAAGAACACCAAATCTGGAAATAAATGTACAACATCACTATGGGAGATCAGGCACAGAGTATTTCTTTACTACAAGATTCAATTTGTAGAAAATGCTCACAGAAGGGAGTCTATAAGCAAGATTATTGGTTCTTTGGGGCTGAGGAGGATGTGGATGCCTTCGAAGGGTAATAAGCGAAGGACATGGAGTTGTTTTTCAGGTGATGAAAATGATCTAAAATTTGTTAATGGTCGCATAAAGTGAATATAGTGAAAAAAGTCACTTTAAATGGATGAATTGTATGGCATGAGCTATACCTCATTAGTACCATTATTGATAAACTATTTTGTGTATATTCAAGAAACTGGAGGCCACACAACATTAAGAACAAAGTAGTATTTCCAAAAAGACCCATTACATGGAGCAACATGCATGAACTCAAATATAGTATGGAACAATGTCTAGAATACTTAAGGCTACGGCAGTGTCTATATTTAGGGAGAGTATGCTATTTTTGTTACTGCCTGGGATGAAAAGACGTTTGTAATAGTTTATATTATCTACACGTGACTGCCGGAGTATGTTTGTTTATGTACTGACCGATACTTATAATCGGTGTTCTATTTTCTGTGTTCTATTTCAACAAATGTTAAATAGCTTTAAAAACCTAGCTGTTTGATAAGTGGTCTTACAAGTAAGCACTGAGAAAAAGCTAAAAGAACACATAAATATTTTCAAGTTGTTTTAAGTGTGTTGGGATTATGTAGAATCTCAACGTTCTTCTATACACTTTTCGTTATTTTTCAAATGATCACACTGGGCATATTATCACAACAATGGAACAATTATCAACATATAACAGTTTATCTTATATCATTTTTACACTAAGCTAATTTACCCAAAACGTAGAATTTTTGCTTCCCACTGGAAGCAACTGCTATTTCACAATAAAAGCTGGCCGGTGTGGCTGCTGTCCTGCGGGGTTCCTGGTGGTCTTGACTGGCAGGAACTCACCAGGCAACCGGCCCCGGGAGGAGGAGCAAACAGGTGCATGGGACTCCAAGGGCACTGAGCAGAACTTAGGCAAGCAAACCCTGAGCATCCTTATCAAACCTGGGTCCTTTCTGCGCGCACCAGGGAAGTGGTGTAGGGCTCAGCGAAGCCCTATTCTCCCACAAAGTCAAGAATTAGCCTACCATTGCAATCTGCAAGCGTGTAAGACCCCGGTGGTGAGTCGGTGTTTCCTCCTCTTCTATAAGGTTGTGAAAGATGAGTATGTGACAGATTTGGCTCTTCACCGGGTTGGGGGGTGGGGGGTGGGGCTCCACAGAACGGCTGACTCTCTAACCGGCGACTCTCCAGAAGGATCTTAAGGCATGTAAAGTTTTTACCTGGGCAGGCCATGGTGGGCGAGGAACTGGCGAGGAGCGGAGTGTGGCCGGGTGCCTCCCGCAGTGCAGGACGTCCAGAACGTTCGGGATGCTCGCACTCCGGGGGCGGACTCCGCTCGGTGTCTGGATGCGGCCGGGTGGAACTGGAGGATGCTCACATCACTTCGGCGGACTTCGAGCAGCGGGAGCCTCCTGTGACTCGAGCGAGGCTCCTTGAGGATCCGGGCAGCCCACGCGGAGCTGTCTTCCCTTTCTTCGGTTGCCGGGACCTTCACCTTTCTGGCCGGTCCGCTCAGCTCTTTGCAACTTCGGTAGTAGCTCAGCGCGGGTGCGGCTGGCTGCACCGCGCATGCGGGGTGCCGGTCCAGCCCCGCCCACTGCCACTGCTCAGGCTCCGCCCACCGCTTAGCTTGGCGGCTTGCTGAGCTGTGGGTAAGAACCGGTCTCTCCCAGTGCTTGAGGGCGGAAGGAAACGTACAGGATTTTGCTTTAGTTGTGAACATTGTCTGCCTTCACCCAGAAATACCAAGCATACGGGACCCATGCAAACGGCAAGGTCCTGTGCTTCAGCTTAGTTTCTCAGAATAAGCGATTTTTCTCCACCAGGGTTTCTCAGCCACCGCGGTGGTTGCGTTTTTGGTATGGGTGATCTTGGGTGTGTCGATGAGCTGTAGTGAGTTAGTATTTTGCAGCATCCCTCATTTCTAATCACTAGATTCCGGCTTCAACCCCGCAGCCCCGGAGATTCTGACAAACAAAATGTCACCGAAATCTGCCAAGTATGTGCATGTACTTGCTCCCATTGACTGCCATCCCACAGGAGCAAAGATGCAGGGGACAGGAAATGTAACAAAGTTAGTAACTTCAGTCTGATAGAGTTAATATGCTTCCATTTCCTCAGCTGTTCCAAAATTCTTTTTTACTTTATTGTTTATTGGTACAATTTAAATCAAGGACAGAGTCGATCATGTACCGCATTTAGATGTAAATTATCTTCAGCTTCCTTAGATCTAAGACAGTTTCCCGTCTTTTATTTGCTGTTTTCTGGGTTTTGACAAGGACAGGTGTTCTTCCAGAACACCCTCCACTCTCTCTATTTGATTGTTTCTGCATTTTGATAAGGCTAAATTCCACCTAGATGATTATACACCCAATTTTTCTGTTTCCAAATGGCTGTCTACCTATTCTAACAACAGTTAACTTTACAAAGTCCTTTCCTTCCTTGCCTCCAGGGATGTGGGCTACTACCTATGTAAATTTCTGCACTGCCCTTAGGTCTGTATTTTTCCACATTGATTAGATATTGTCATATTCTAGATTTACCCTGTTTTAATTATAGTTTGTATAGTCTATTGCAATGTCTGAAAGGGTTAGGCCAGCCTCGTTGCTGCTTGCTTTTTACATTCCTGTTTTTTCTTCATATACACTATAAAATATAGGTCCATTCAAATACTTTTAAAGAAATCGACCATAATTTGATGTGTTGTCCTATCAGAGAAAGGTTTTATTTTTTTTCTTTTTCTTAAGACCTTGTTTTGTGTCATTCAGCAAGTCTTTCTAGTGTTTTCCACACAGGATGCCTACATATCTCGCTAAATTTATACCTAGGATGGTTCCTTTTATGTTTGTACTGTAAAATAGGATCATCGCTGCAATTGCTTGTTGTCCCACACAATGAACATAATGATTTCTGTATGTAATTTTATATCTTACTATTATATGTAATTTCTTATTGATTCGGGAGTTTTTCATTGAAAGTGTTTCTATTCTTTGATGTAATTGCAGTCATTACTTGCTGAGGCTCAAATTGCCCATCCTTGATACTTGTACTTACCTGACCCAACTTGAAGTGCCTTGATAGTGTCCTTGCTTTCTGCTATGTCGGAGCCCTGGTCTCATTCCAGTGTGGTTCTGTATTGTACTGCTTCAGACCTAAAACCAACCCTTCCCAGGGTGTCCTTAAAGCTTCCATTGCAGATGGCCTCTGGAGAATGCAGTCACTTCAGGTGCTCAGGGCCTTTTTTCTCTTCCAGAAAATAGTTAGAAAATATATATATTTTAGAGAAGAAAAAGACCATAAATTTGAAGTGTTATTCAACTTTTAACAAAATATTTTTGGATAATTACTTTTTGATATTATGTTACTCCTCTTCTCCTTCATGCTGTAAGTGATAAATTTCTGAATTTTAGGATTGTTCACCTTTCCCTACAGTAGTCTAACTGCTAATAAAATGCCAAATGTAGTTTGTCTATCAGGATTTGTTTTGTGTTGTTTAGTTAAAAAATAAAATTAAATACAAGCTGTAGAAAAACCACTATTATCTTTAAATGTATTCTTTTGAGTGGAATATCTAACTTATTTATTTAAATTTCTATTTTTTATTAGTATAGATATCTACATCTCTCATTTTATTCTAAACATTTTCCAGACACCATTGTGTTTTTATTTTATCTAGAAATTCTCAATATCACCTGACACTTCCTTTGCTTCATTTAATAGAGAAATTGAAACTGTCAAGACCAGAGGTTTTTATTACAGTTTGATGGTCCGATTTCTAACTTTATCATACTGTTAATAGAGATTATTATTATTCTTACATTTCTTCGTGTACTTTATCAAAGTATGCCTATTTTGCCTATAAATGCAAAACTTAGGCGATTAAAAAATAATTTTGTTAAATTTGTGCCGGATTAAGAGATTGTGCTATTCACTATTATTATTTATGGTTTTCAATTTTTTAAATTAATTATAATCTCTTATTTGTGAACATGATTGCTGGGTTATTGGGTATATATGTTTTCATAAATATTTTATTTCCCCACAAAACACAAAATGTGGGGAAATGAAATAGGTTTTATTTAAATGGTTTCGGTTCTGAATTTCTCACTTCTTGATTCAAACATAATCTCAGTTCTTTTATTGTTGCTGTTTTGTTTTGTTTTTTTCAAGACAGGGTTTCTCTGTACCTTTGGAGCCTGTCCTAGAACTAATTCTTGTAGACCAGGCCGGCCTCAAACTCATAGAGATCTACTTGCCTCTGCCTTCTGAGTGCTGGGATTAAAGGCCCGTCTCTCAGTTCTTTTTTAATAAGCATTTTTTTGGCTATACTTTTGCCTGTTATGTCATGCATCCATTTTGTTTTCTAAAGTTATCATCATTCCTGAACTACTTTTAATTTTATGTTGTCTTTTATGTGTGGCAGAGTTGGGGCTTCACTGGGGTCGGTTCGTGTTATCCTCTTTTCTAGAGAGCAAAGCCAGTGATTGAGGCGCCCTGTCTCGGTTGCCTCATTTATACTATTCATATGTGTCAGGCGATTTGATGTCGATGAGTGCTGTTGAGAAAAGTGAACAAAGGTCAGTTCGGAAAGCTGAGGAGGGAGCGTACCCTTTGCATTAGTGCTTGGGAAAGTCACCTGGAATGTGAGTTTCGCACAAACACGAGGTAGGTGAAGAAATGAGTCGTCTGGAAAAAAAATGATGAGAATGTTCCTGACAGGGAACAGTGTGGGCAGAGGCGTGCAGCACCTGGACACCCACGCTTGGACCTCTAAATGCCTTTCGCCCTTCCCGGCCCATTCCTTTGCAATGATCCTTGAATATAATGGCCTTCAAGTCTCTGATGTTTCAGTGTGAGCTTTGTGTTCTACCTCCAGCCTGTCAGATAAGGATCTCAGTGATTGCTTTGGGCTGTTTATCTCAAGCTTTGTGGCTACAGGGAACAATTTTTTGTTGCAACATACACACCCGTGAAAAGTACCTTGACTAACAAATGTTCAAAAGGCACAAAAACATCCACCCTCTACACTCAGAAATGAACAGTATCCCTGGAAGCCGACTAAATCTGGTTTAAGACAGCTTTATCTTTTAAAGACACAAATCTAAAGCAATGAGAACGGAAAACGGTATGGCAAAGAAAGTAGTGAGACATGAGCAATATGTGTGACAGGGAAGGGAGAGTCAAATCTGTAAACAGAAACACTGAATTAAGGATGGTAACAGAGAAGGGACAAACTTTTTACCTTGAGCTGCCTTCTCTACTTACTTTATTTGGAAGCGTTTTAACTTTATCTCTACCATTTTCGTTACCTTTCATTTTCTTAGACCCAGCTGTCACAGTGAAGTCTGCCTAAGTCACAGTTCATGTAGAAAACTGAACCGTGCATTGTAAAATAGGACACAAAACAAAAGACTTCATCTGAGCTGAGATCATCGCTCTCAGAGATTAGCAAAACCCTTCCACAGTGTTTCTAACAGCCTGGGACGGTTTCGGCATTCTTGGTGTGCTATTGCCCCCTGCTGTTCAAGTGGCAGCATTGACTCAGCAGTAGTGTGTTTAGAGCATGCTTTCAGAAAAGTTAATGAAGATCGAAACAGAACGGTTTCAGAGGTAAAAGGTATAAAATAAAAACGTAAAGTATGAAGTACAAGTATAAAATAATTTTCAAATCATCTTTCCATACTCTATGATGGGCAGAGAAGAAACGATTCAAGTATTTGTTTTGTTTTAGGAGGCTCCTTCCTCCCTCCCTCCCTCCCTCCCTCTCTCCCTCCCTCCCTCCCTCCCTTCTTCCCTCCCTCCCTCCCTCCCTCCCTTCCTCCCTTTCTTCTTCATCGAGGTAGCATAAAGACAGCAGGGATTGAATTAAAAAGTGAAATGGTTTGTCTCGAAAAACCAAAAAAAAAAAAAACAAATAAAATGGAGGCAAAAAGTGCAAAAGGAGTGGGTATGTGGGCGACGTCCACGCAGCAAGGACAAGGAAGTCAATCCTGAACAGCCTCTGGCCTTACCCTGGGAACCCAGGCAGAAACTCACTCAGTGGAGGATGCTGTGTGGGCCCATTGTGAGCTACAGTTTTGCTCGTTCTTTCTAAGTTTGGTCACAGATGCTTCTCAAAGCCAGTAGGTTATGAACTGGGACCTTTGCAGCAGTGAAAGGGGACACAAACCAAGGATCTGATTGGTTGAGTGGTTCTTAGACATCCCGGTGGGTCAGGGTCTGTCTCCCGGAAGTCAGCCATGTGCAGAGGTGTGGACCTGAGTGAGCGTAGGAACTGTGTGTTTTGGGTTCCAGGGTTCAGAGCTCTGACTTCTGTGGGCTCCTGCAAACCAGGGCCCAGTGGGATGCAGCAGCAGGTGCAAGGATCTGCCGAAGCGGCTCAAGGGTCTGCGGAAGCTAGAGCAATGCTACAGCCTTTGAGACATGCTCAGTCTTTCTCTTTGAGTCACACCGTTACAGTCAACTCTCTAGCCGTCTACTGGTTTTCTTATTTGGATTTCTGCCTGTTCCCAACCTTGGCACATCTGTGTGTGGCACTTAACAAAGGCACATG